AAGATCTTCAGATGATGTATATGAACCATATATATCTTAATCTGACGCGCTTGAGTATTTCAAAATGGCGATTTTTTTTGCACATTATAATAATGGCCGCGAGTTTGCGTCAGATCAAAATCGTCAGATTATTGAATGAGAGTTTTATTTTATCACCCCCTTAGAAAATCTTACGCGCTCGATAAAAATTTTTTTCTTTTCACTTTTAACCCTTACGTACAACCACCCACATCATGCAAACGATCAGATTAACATACCAACACGTAGGACATTGATGCTATCAATATCTGACGCGCTCGAGTATGTCCATGTAACAGTATTTTTTACATATTTGAAAATCTATAGCCGTAGTAGTAGGCTCAACGGCGAATTGGCATAAAATCTCAATCTGTGCGGCTTCCGTAAGAACTCTCGGCTGCTTTACTGCTTTGTCGCACACAGAACCGGTCTCTTTTTTGAACAAGGTCTAGAACATATCGTTGACTCACATTTTGGCCTGCATGCCTTCCATTAAAAACCCGGGCTGTCCTACGAGTACAGCTATCTTCAGCACCATAACTTGTAAAGTGTACACCATTACGATTTGTATTACTGTCAGTGCAACTGATACCACTTGACAAACAGTTTAAAATCAGGAATAACTAATTAATGTTTCCATCATTTAATTGTAACTGACGCCAAGAAGCAACTGTGTGCCCTTATCTCACTTTCAGCTAAAGACATAAACATACCGTTATTGAGCCAGTGGTAGCGGTTCCATAAATTTTTGCATTTTGTTATAATTTATTTTCTTTTTGCCCTATTTNTTTTAGGGGGTACGCGGGACCAACAAAATAAAACAAACCTTAAAATTCAAATAGAGGAAAAAACTCCAAAATCCAAGGTAAGTTTATACGAGTTGTGAATTTCAGTTATAACGGAGCCTACATGAGAACTTGTTGCTTCATACTGAAGTACGATGGCTTTCACGGGGAAATGTTTTGTCTCGTGTGTTTCAACTCCACAAGGAATTACACATAACACACAAATCGCATTTGTCTTCAGTACTTACTGAATTTGATTGGCTTTTGAAGCTGGCATATTTAGGTGATATTTTTGAAAGATTCAACATCTGGAATTTGTCCATGCATGGCAATATTTCTGATATTTTTTATGTAGCAAAAAAAACTGATGCAATGGTAAAAAAGATCAATCTCTGGGAAAAAGAAATACAGAAAAACAACCTTTGGAGAAACAGTATGACTGGATACGTGACCACTTTGTTGTTGATGCTACGGACACTAACCTGACTATTGTTGAAAAGGAGCAGCTCATTGAATTAATTTCTGCCAATTATGATGAAAAGTGTCGACCAATATTTGTAAAACTTAAAATAATGACCCTATATTCAGTTATTGTCTATGAAAATCTGCTTTTTGTTCAACAAAACTTGATGAATAAAGTTGCTCACAAGGATGTACACCAACATGATACAAGTAATAAATCAAACCTTGTTCCTACAGCTGAATTTCGTAACTTGCCATTTAGAAGATACGAAAACACGTGTTCTAAAATAATGCAAAAACACGTCGATTTTTAGTCCAAGGGAGACATCTTCCTATCATAACCTCAAATGCCATACCTCTTCCCCCGCCCCTCGGTGACTACCACTACCATAAGGAATTCGGCAATGTCAATTTTAGATACCTAACTTTCGATTTTGGCGCCTTCTTGCGGGAAAAAAACTGTTCCGTATTCCAAATTATGATACTTCATTCGCAAGCTGATTTGACATAAATTCGGTGACAATGCATTATGGAGTTTTTCTAAGGGAAAAAACAAGATGGCGGCTTCAAAATGGCGGACAAGATTTGCAATTATGGTCCGATTTGATTCAAAATTGATAAGTGGTGGTTTTCAGGGTCGGAAATTATGAATTGTCTTTCAATGCAAAAAATCAATATGGTAGCTTCAAAATGGCGGACGAAATTTGTAATTATGGTTCGATTTAACCCGACACCGAAAACGAATTCTTCAAAACACATGTGTTGTCAACATAATGCAAAAACACGTCAATTTTAAATCCAAGGGGGATAAATCCTGTCGTTAACACAACTCTCATACTTCTCTTCCCACCCCTTGGTCACTCATACAATTTTGATTAGGGAAAGTACTAAGGGTGACACAGCATTAAAAAGGTAATTCCATAAGAAATTCAGACATGTGATTGTTCGCTACTTAACTTTTCATTTTGGCGCTCTATTGCAGGAAAAACAACTGTTTCGTTTTTCAATTCACATTTTATTTGAAAGGTANAATAAACGAAACTAGTAGTATGTATAGTTTCAAATCGAATTATAATATATCAACTGAGAAATATGAATAGGGAAAATTAAAATTCAGTTACTGCTTTGACAGCAAACTCATAAATGAGTCCATGAAATAAGCAGGTACTTGAAGAACCAACAAATGATTGCAAATTACTCTTCAAGGAGTCCTTAAAATGATATATATGATATATCGATTCCGAGAAATGGCGAAAATGTATTGCACAAGTCAACAACAAGAAAACGCGTTTTTTATGTTGAAAATTGGCTTTATTCATCCACGTAATCTCCATCAAGAGCCACACAAAAATTCCGGCGCAGCTCTAACATTTCAATAGCACTTTTGAAGAACGACTTATCTTTTGTATCAGAATAGGCCTCAGTTTCAGCAATAACCTCTTCATTCGAGCGAAGTAGTCGCTGGGAGCCAAATCTGGCAAATACGGTGGACGTAGAAGAAATTCGAATTTTAATTCACGTAGTTTTGCCATTGTTTTGATTGACTTGTGACACAATGCGTTTTCTTCATGAATTTTTTTTCTTTGCCATAAAGGATCGTTTCTTTGCCGATACAATGACGCTATACAGTGCATTTCTTCAATGCCCCCCCATTTTATTTTTTGAACGGGTCAACTTGAAAAATTGAAATTTGGGATAATGCTATTAAAGAAAAGTACTGCATAATGAGCACTTATTACTAATCACTATTAGGAAACACTAATCAATGAAACAATATTATTCTCTACTCTACTTTAAATAGTTCTACTGTGAGTGATATGAATACATTTTTTGAATAAATAACTTACTTCAGAGCTCCAAGGATGAACCAAATAAAAATTAAAACACTCGTTTTAATTCAAATCCTATTAAATTTCAGATATACGGGTGTGAGCGTGGTCGAAATGGATTTTGAACGAATAGACATAAACCAATGCCCGCCCGGCGAAGGAAATAACGGTCCTAATATGTTCGCAGATACAGCAAGATGCAAAAAGGAAACCACAGAGGTGAGTGAACACGATAATGAGTTTAATATTGCGACGGTATCACATTTCTGGAAAAAAGTTAAACAGTAATTTTCAAGAATCAGAGCTCTCGAATGAAATCTCACATTACAACGGTGCAAATTACGTTTTTTTTTATAGTGCGAACCACTTCACGGCTGGGGTTTTCGAAGAGGAGCTTACCAATGTAGGTGCAGGCCTGGATATAGGTTACCCATGCAAACCAGGAGACCATTTTTGGGGGAAATTGTTGAACGAGCGACAGCGGAACAATATTACAACGGATTTGATTGCCAGAAGATTGGATGTGAGTTACATGTTGTGAAACGATTAATAACAGCGTAACCATTCCGTCAGTATAGAAAGGAAAAAACCTTTAACATTTACTAACCCGCGACGACATGCCAGTAAAAATAAGATCCTTTCCCCTTGAAAGTATCAAATTCAGTAGGTTATACTGGGCTCCAAGTATTTTTTCTAAATCGGCAGATTTTATAGATGGGGGTTAGAGAAGACAAAATTGAAAGACATGCAGATACTATCAGTTTAAATCCTGATGCAAACTGTCAAATCTAGCTGAAAAAATAGGNTATTTAACGAACTGGTTCACCTATTCGCTCGTACATCCTATCGATATGCAGAATCTATCTTGTTACGGGGGGCAAATTTTATGGAATCATCTCACTTTTCAATTATTTACAATGGCGATGTGCATAGACAATAAAAATGACCCCGGTAAGAATTTAGTTCTAACATTTAACATTTTTGCCGTTAGCTCTCAGTTTAATTTGTATATGAGTTACCTTCAATTGAAATTTGTTATACTATAGTTATAAATCAAGTAGACTTTAAACTCCACTAACACAATTATTTCACTGGTGTAGATACTTCTCTTTCCCTAGTCCCTTATAATCGCTCACGGATCCGACATTAAACTGATTTTTGCGCACACTTATATTTGATTCAAAAACATTTTCTAGGGGAGTGTTGCTAATGTCATTTCATTTCACAGGGATCCAAAAACTTCCGATCCAATGGGAGAAAGCCGTCCCGTACATCCGGGAACTCTATCTCGACAAATACAGCGAATACCGTAACCAAACTTTTGGACCTGCTTCGTTGAGTCAACCCAAGCTCAACGTCCATCGCGTTCTCGACTTCATATTGGGAATGAACAAGGTGAACTGCAAAAACTACAAGCCAGAGGACTTGCAGCTTCACGGAGGCGTCATGTACGGCGCCGAAGAATATTTCCAAAACGAAGCCAAGATGGCTCTGCGGCTGGCCAACTTCATCAGTGCCTTTTTGCAAGTTAACGATCCCAAAGAGGTTTATTCCGGAAAGAGGGTAACCGATAAAGAACTGACGGAAGATCAGATGTTCGGCGAAACACTTGCTTTAGTTCTAGGTGAGTATTGACGTCAATACAAAGACGGAAAAATGTTGGTTTTCTGCTTCTTCAGCATTATACAAAAAAAATAATGAGAAACTTCTGAAGAATGGAGAAAAGCTTCAATGAAAGTAATTCACGAAAATGTGTAGATCACATATTTATTCCTATAAAACGTTCCTTAAACAACAAAAAACGTCAACTAGTTTTTTGCTTTCAAAATATGTTTCATTATAGTTCTTATTCGCAGCCCTTTTTCCATATAACCTATAAATTCGAACAACGTCGTTCACACTACCAACTCCACCATCGCTCGCACAAGTGGTCCGTCCCTCGACTCGTCTCGACATAAATATCGGACCAAAACCTGTGGTCCCACAGTCGACGCTTGGGAGTAGGTAGATTCGGACCCTTGCTGAGACCAGCGACGAAACCTGGAGAATAGACAGCTTGAGACCCCGGCGTCAAGTCATAAAACCCTTACAGAGTGTCAAAACCTGAAGAATAGGCAGATTGAGACCTCAGTGTTGTCATAGCTTCTTGCAAATGGCTTCAAAGTCGAAGCCGAAACGTCAATCAATTAAAAACACCAGACGTAGTGGTAAAAATCAGGACTGCTAAATTTTGAAGTCGTTTGCTACCCATTGTAGATAGTGAGACATCTTTTATCGGTTTCATGACCCAATTAGTAACTAGTATGGTCAAAAATAGACTCATTGTAATGTCTGTGTGAGAGTGCACATTCTGGAAGTTGTTTTCGCGCAAGAACTCGGACACTGATATAAAGGATGTTTTTACCGTTATTTGTCTTTGAATCGGTTCAAAAATGAAAACAGCGAATAAACTAAACACAATATCAATTTCCGACTGTGTCACCGTCGAATCCTTCGATACTACAGCACTGGACGCGTTGGATGAGAATCTCATCCTGAGGGCGGTTGAAGGTCCCGGCAACTCAGGCGGATCACGTGGTAAGAGAGCCTACTGGTTGTATTATTCTACTGTGGCCAAACCGTGAGTTTAGCCCATTTATTTTCATCTTCTTGCAATATAAAGAAAATTATTGACGTTATGATCATTAGGTTAAATCGGAGTACAGAAAACGCATTGTTGTTTTCTTCACTTATTCATCAACAACACAAACACAACAGTCAACCTTGCAAATGATGTTTTGACAGTAATGCCTACAGGATCTAAAATAAGTTCGTCGCCTGCAACACTGCCGCGTCAAGAATTATTTTCTCGTGACTTCTCATCAAGGTGCTACTTATTCAAATGAATGCTTTTTGTAACACGTTGTAAGCACCTAAGAAAACAACAGTGTAACGCATTGGCAGAAAAACCATGGAAGGATCATAATAAAAATGAACCAGTAAGTCCACTCCCGCTACTTTCATTCATAAATTCAAAAAGTTCTCGGTGACCTTGAAACGAAGTGCTGAGCCAATTTCGTTCTTTTGCCATAGGCGTGCGCTCATATAAAAACGAATTTAGGGTTATTACAGAATATTTTGTGGTAAATTACTTATAACCAACTACAAAAACTAAAAACAATAATAACAGCTAATAAACTAAATACGATATCAATTTCCGACCATTTATTATAACTAATCCGATGCCCGTGGTACCGTCGAATCCTCCGATACTACAGCACTGAACGCGTTGGATGAGAATCTCACCCTAAGAGCGGTTGAAGGTCCCCGGCAACTCGGGCGGATCACGTGGTAAGAGAGCCTACTGGTTGTATTATTTTACTGTGAGAGGATGATAAATGTGATTTGCCATCCCCTCAAATCTGCCGCCCGAATTGCAAAAAGTGTTAAACTTCAAATAATTTTTAGGTTTCAAATCTAAAAAAACACTGTCAAGTTTGAAATTGATCTACCTCAAAGAATTGAACTGTGGACATCTAGCTTGCTTCAGGACACTGACATTAAATAGTTTTGAAGACAAATGTATATGAGATCGAATGTATACAGTACACCGGAGATCAACAAAGCCATGAAACAGGAGTTCCACCGTTGAAAACGGTGAGCAAGCTCCGATGCTTGCATACGCGTATCTATCATATATCCCCTAGGCCTAGGGTCACAGACAGAATGGAAAAACTCTTGGGAAAACGGTTTTCAAAACCTCCAAGAAGATACATCATAGTCTCAGGCCGGCTAAATACAAAAGAGATCCACTATCAGCAGCAGCAGGGGTATATGGCATACCGTGCACTTGTGGGAAGGACAAGTCAGCTGTGACGGAACGTACTCAGTGAAGGAAACCACAGGATTTTGTTTGAAAACACGAACCTCATTGCCCCCAACCGAGGATACCATAGCCGACCGGTACGGGAGGCAACAGAGATTATGGATAATTTCAACAGAAAAAAGCTGTTAACTTCAACCGAATATGGAATCCCATTCTAAGAAGTTCAAGAATAGCAAGCAGCATGACAGCAGGTAGAAAAAGGTTGACGAATGATGTTGACGATTTACCTAATCCAGGTACAGGTAATATCACTCCAGACTACCTGAGTCAACATAAATACGCTTCACGCAGCCGTAATATCTAGTCATCGGCCCGTGGGTTGGGCTACCTATAGGGCGCGTCCCCAGGTGGGGACGTCCTTAGGGGAACGGCCAGGGGACTGGTGGCACTGGCCGGGAAGCCAATGTGGCCTTGCGGACGGAGTCGCCGGACTCCTGGTCAGTGGCAGAAATAAGTAGCGTGAGGGGAACTAAAACTCCCCAAAAGCCTTTGCATAATATGCCACCAAGCTAATGTGTAAGGAATCGTGCCGACCGCTGAATGGCCGCAGGGTTACGGTTACGAACGGTTACGGTTACGAACGATCCCCATGGGGAACTGGGCGAACCTCATTGTAATCAGTCTACCTCTGGTAATGCGGGGCTCTGTCAGATGTGACCAACCCTTCCTTGCTACTCGTGGGAACACACATGAATGAAACAAACACAAAAACAGAAACAACAGAAACAAAAACCAATCCCGAGGCTGGACAGAAGTGCTCACCTCAATCTAAGGCGGTGGCTGGGGATGAACAGAAATTTCCACCCCAATCTACCGCTTGGAATGAGGCTGAACATAGCAGATCACCTCGTGATTTAATACAAAGGCCAATGCCAAAAGGAGAGCGAAGGAGACAGGAGTGGCAGCAACTATAAGTGTACATCCTCGTCCTCCCCCACTCCACCTCCAACAACAAGGGCACTTCCTGCGGCGGGCACCAAGAGCTCCGCCTTGAATAAAGGCAAGGAACCGGCCGCCCCTGCAGGAAAGCTATCTCACTTGTACACCTCCACGGAGGGAACCCCAGGAAGGTTGAAGAAGCCGCGCAACGACATGAATGTCGCTGCACCATTCAAAACCTTCGTGAAGACCACCGTGAGACATCTCAAGGTTGCCAAAGAGAGTGTGTGTTCGGCGAGTCTTAGCCGACACCTGCCAATATAAAGGAGATGTCTCCCAGTGATCTATCCACCTTCCTGGAGAGGACAGGATGGACGATGACCTAGGAGGACAACTCCTCGGGAGGATGTACAATGGGTGACATGTGGCCTAAGTGCTGTGGGCTCACACTCACTCTCCCTACTCTACAGATACAGATCTAGTCATCGGAGATTAACTCAGGATGTATAAACCTCTGAAGAAGCTGGCCACCCGCGCCACCGAAACATCAGGAAGAAATTTCTAAAATCAACGGTCTTCAAATCCGAAAAAATAGTGAGACTGACAACCTCGGCCGCGAAAGCTTTGACCATTTTATCATAAGTACAATGTCTTCAGTAGAATAAGCAACAATATCGTCTTCAATACGGTCATGTTTGTGACTATATCGCTCAACCGATCGTGATGAAACTTGACATCTATTAGTAATTTTCATAGAAGTTTTCAGGCTATCAATTTTTCTGTAACTCGCCACTAGATGGCGCTGTAGTTGATTCGTTCGTTGATTCTGTCAAAACATTGGAACAGCAGCGATACAGCAACATATACTAGTCTAAAAAAAAGCAACAAATTGAATATCTGACTCTTTCTGACATATCAATTCGTCAATATCGAATACATTTTCATTCTACTCACACAGAATGCGTCTTTTTCAGGCAACAGTCGAATTTGGTCCGCCGGCACCTATTGGGAGCGCAACAAGTTCACGAACCGCACCCTGTTTGCCCCGTTCGCTTACAAAAAAATTCTCAACACCAGAAAATACAACGTCGAAGATTTGGCGCGATTGAACAAACCAGAAGACGTCTACCTCAACAAGCCCTGGTTCAAATTCCTACGACACCGCTGGGCCTCCAATTTCGACAATCTCGAGAAATTCTGGATGAAAATCAGGATCAGATTCAACGAGACGGGCGAAACGACCATGAAGTTCGAACATTTTCCAAACTACTACATGGGAGCGAGATTGGAACACGGTTATTGGACGGCCCCTTACTATGATTGTCACGGAAAAGTGCCGATGTGGAAAATAAGATATGTGGCGCCCTTCTTCGGTTGGGACAGTCTCAAAGCGAAACTAGAGTTCAAGTAAGATAACGTATTTCGTAAGGACAATTTCCTGCTGTATATTTTTGATATCCCTTTTTAGACTAACAATGTTAGGTTAGTTCAAAAGTGAGTGGATCTATTCGACCCCCCGCCGCAACCCGCAAGGGTTCGGTTCTGCTGAACTCTAAAAACCTGATTCGGTCCCCAGCGGAGCAGGTATAAAGTATGTAATCTGCTGTTTCATCATTTTCCAAACAGAGGCGACACACACTGTCCTCCAACAGTCCAAGTCTCTGCATATGATGATTCAAATGATAGTGACCTGTAAGAAGGCATGTTAGACATCGTAGTTCATCCCTACTCTAGTCCAACAACTGTTTGGTTTCAAGCTTCAAAGAGATGCTGTGAATAAAGAAGGTGCAGTGATGCATCTCATCCAATTTCACAAAAAACCCTCTCTGTTCAGATTTCATGAAGAGATATTCGAACAGGTCCATCACTCAGAGTATAGAATTGAAGACAGACCTTTGCCCTTTGCAATATTCAAGGTGTCATCTAAAGACGAAAAAATCATGATATTCTCAAAACAATCTGAACAAGTAATCTCTGATTGGCCAGTCTTTTAGTCTAGGAGACCTCTGAAATCCTCATATTCAACTAGTTTTGTATATGTATATGAGAAATATTTTGAAATTGCAATCATTTGTAATGAAAGAATGTTTTTTTTAATTTTTGTTTCTCAATAAATCTTCTTTTCGTCCTTTATGTTTTCATATTCATTGAAGGGAAAATACAATTTTTATTATTCACTTTCTGAAGAGAAATTCCAATTGAACTGGAATTGAGTCCACGTCCACATATTAAGAAAAAAGATCAAATTTAATTGCATTTCGTTAAATAAGTTACTTTAAAGATATGAAAGATTTATATAATGGATTTTGAACAAATACTAAAGTGCTTTCAATGCCATGTCGTCCTAGAAGCACATTTTTAATTCTCATTTTTCATGAAACTTTTTTTGATACCAGCCACAGGAATTGAGAGTCAAGAAATATTAATTTTCATCCCAGAATTGACATAACTTTTAAACATTAATCAAAATGTTTTACAGAGGAGCTGTAGGTGTCACAATGGATTTACTGAAGTTAGACATCAATCAATGTCCTGATGAATACTATGTAGCAAACGCTTTCAAAGATACTCACAAATGCGACCAAAAAACATCATATGTAAGTATAACGGAACTTAGCTGCTTAACATTTTTCAAGAACTCCCAACTTCTGACAATCGCTGATATCCTTTAGACTTATTTATACTATTAACTCAGTATATATTATTACCATAATAAGTGAGAAATATTGATTGCAGACAAATTTACTCCTGACTCAATAAGTATAGCGACCTTAAGAATGACTTTTCAGTCTAAAATTTCAAAAATATCACTCTATCAAAAAAATCGAGATAGTATGTAGTTGTAACTACTATGCCAATAAATATTCTTGTTTCCTTTTAAATAAATATAAATTACATCAATTCAATACCACACTAATTAAGTAACACATCATCCATGTGGTAATATAATTCATTAGGTCCTGGATAAACAATTATATTTCATTTCCTCATTTGTAATGGTTAGTTTGGTCTAATCAAGTACCCCTTATCATGAGTACCAACATAAATTTCTGGAAACACTTCTTTTCCAGTGTGTTCCAATCTTGGGAAGAGGTTTCGAAACTGGTGGTTATAAATGCGAATGCAAACAAGGCTTTGAATACCCCCTCGAAGACCCCATAACATATTACGATGGTCAATTAGTGGAAGCGGAATTCAGTAACTTGGTGGACAATAACGAGACACGTTTCAACATGTTCAAGTGTCGCCTAGCTGGAGCCAGTGGCATTCAGGCTAGTACAGCAAACATTATTATTTTATTAATAGCGTGTTTTGGAATGTACAATAATTTTAGGTAATACACACATGAACACGATGTTGGCAGAAAAATCATTATTATTTGATATCAGTATATTATTGTTCCAGATCTGAAATATGAAAGGCCTTATAAATTCAGTGCCTTCATAGAAAAAAAACATGACCGAACGTATGACAAATTGTATCATAAACCGTCCAGATGTGTACTTCAATTTCTGTATATTTTTTGTTTTTACTAGATATAGTTTTTATAATAGTTTTAGGTATTTTTTTACAAGAAAGGCATACCATAATTATACGACAAGAGTCAATTAAATAATAGATATTATTGAATAGGTACTGTTGAATTTTTTTATTCAGTTTCATTATAACCAATCTTCATTTCAACTCATTTCAACAATTTCTCCTGTTTTTTTTCAAAAGCCCAGAATCTTTGATATTATTGTATTTATACCAACGTTTGTTTCAGTACTTGAATTATTTTTTTTTATAAAATAACCAGAGAGATGAAATGAAGAAGGAAATGTAATTTTATTAAACTTTTCAAACATAGCTTGGTTGCTTTGTACAATGTATGTATTTTTCTATCTAGTTAGTGAAATGAAAAGTCCATATAATCCCTCTGCTGATGATCTCGAACTAAAGTAAACAGTTTGTTTTCAGCGGGTTGATATATGATCAAGACTAAACATTGCGCAGTTTTGAACATAATCTGACATTGGAATTGACCTCACTATGACTGAAAATCATGTAAATATCAGATAGTTTCGTTAAAAATGTCTTTTAAGGATTGAACTTTTTTTAACTGATTTATAAATAGGTATTTTTCAAGTTATTGATACTTCCAAATATATTTAAGAATACTAACATTTCTTATGTTAGTTGAAACTGATGCAGGAAAATTTTTCACAGGGAAAATTATCACAATTTTCTGGTGACATTTATTAAGTGGAGTTTTTTACATAGAATCATTTGAATTTCATTTTTAAAATAAAATTTTAACCAAATAATCAGAAAAGTACAAATTGGTGCACATAAATAAAATACTTGGTATATAGCTTTACACTAGTTACTTATAGAAGTTAACTTGTTTCCGTCCACCTCGGTCTGGAGTCTCATTGTATAAGTTTATGTTTTTATATGTTGAATATTTGCAATATTAAATATATACAAATAATAAAGGTGTTATCATTTGAGGGGTGAATTATCTAAAGATGGGATTGAGAGAATTTAAAACTGATCAGCAAGATGAAAAATAGAAAACTTTATTACACCCTATGCTAGGTACACCTCAAATATAATGTGGCTGAACAATTGATATACTTTTTTTGGATAACAAACAGAGTAAGAAGTAAAGACTGTTAAATAAAGGATAAAAGTAGAAAAAATTTCAGAAACATTGGTCTGCCCATTCAACAGTAATGTAGATATAATAGGTTTATCAATGTCGATGTTTAAAGTGTTTAAAGAAGCAAATTTCCCATTTTGTTCTCTGTCAGTAGTGAAAACAGATTGAACTGACATGAATTATCAATGTCAGTTGAAAGTGAGGCGAAAAATAATTTAAATTTCTTGTTGGGGTTTTCATGGAAAAAATCATATGAATAAGATCAAAAAAATTCACTATCAACATTCATATTTTAGTCCACTGTTCAAAAATCAGAACATGAAGATTCAACAGACAAAACCTACGAGAACAGAAATGTCTGAGATATATGATTTTTGTAAAATAAATATTTGAGTTCTGAAGTTTCCATTTGAATGACCGATGATTAGCATTTGGACAATGATAAATATTGAAAATAATTTTTTTATATCATGACATTTGCTACTCACAATTATCCATTCAGTATTCAAATTTAGGAACTGCCAAAATTGACTTTCAGAGGATGGTTGGTTTTTCCAATTTCTAGTAGTTATCCAAACCTGGAAAAAACATGTATTTATACCTAATGTCATTCCACATTACTTTCATGGGGAATATTACCTCAAGACTTTTTCTTTAATTTTTATGGGTCACAACATTCCAAAAAGAAACTAAATTTAATAATCAAACAAATTCACTAGAGATTGTTTTGTTGCCTAGGCACGCCACAATTAAGTACTGAAATTAGAAATTACCAAATGGGAATTATTACTTTGCCTGCTCCAAAAGTTCATAAATGTATATAAGAATTCCAACAGTTATTAAATATACAATAGAAAATATAGTCAAATATATAGTTAATATCCAATATGATAATTTCATCTGAAACTTATTGTTCTGACATTTCTCAACTTTTTTGACGCAAAATAATAGTACATTAGTAGACAACCCCATTTCAAATTTTTAATCATCACATCCATCATGGTATTACCGTTGGAAAAATACTAGTGCTTAGAGGCAACAACAGCCTCACCTGATTAACTTAGCAGATATCACACACTGAGCACACAATTTTATAATTATTGAAAACGATCTGCAATCTCAGTTGAACAAAAGTGGGGAAAAAATTAGGTTTTGCAAATTCGTGAATTATTTAAAATGATAGCAGTGTTTTTGGGACAACCATATCTAGGATAAACTCTAACCTAGACAGAAAATGAATAAGCTGGAGCTAAATAAAACATACATTTGATGCGAATTTATTAAAGATATAATAGTTCCTCAGTAAAAATGTTACATATTCAAGCATAGCCTTTGCTACATACAAATATAACTAAAAATTTAAGTTATTAACCATATACATAATTCCCATACTGAAAATATTCTGTAATAAAAGCAGTTGTTCTTCCCTAAAATGTAATATAATAATGAAACAGTCGAGACATGGCATTAGAAATATCAGCACCATTAATATTCGAGTACCTAATATTAAACAGACGAAAGAAATGAATGTTTTTATGATAATTTGCTAAGGTGATCATGCAACCAGGCAGCTATCTCCATACGCTTAATAAACATTTAAAAAAATTATGATACAAGACTTTCAATCTTTTGAATACAAATTTGATCTCTTCTATTTATAATAATTTCCAATAATATTTAAACTCCTGACTATTCCATAATCAAACGTTAGGAACAAAATATTTGTATAAAAAGTAAGAAGGAGTGAGAGAGATAGACAGAGAGATGTAGTGGGAAACACAGAAATCATAAAGTATCATTCCATTCAATAGTTCAGAACCGACTGGAACATACTAAATAGAATAATTTTCATTGTTTTGAAGAAGTCAGTTTACGCATTTTAACAACCTAATGTCACTGCATTGTTATAAATGAATGATATTTTATGTAGATGTGACATGTGATGTCGTTTTGAGATGTCTAGAAGTCGTTATGATGAAGTATTTCAACATACTCATAATCATATCGAAAGGATATCAGATTATCGTATCAATTATGTTACAGTTTCACGTCAAAAAATGAGAGTGAACACTATTTTTAGAGTTTTTTTGGCAGTGGTCTGCAGATTTTTATTTCTGATGTTTCGTCTACTACTGCGATAAACATTATCAAAGGCAATATATAATATTTAACTGGTCAACTTTAGTTGATATAACTTGACAGGTCGACCTTTTGACAGTCTATGGTCAGTTGCAATCGGTAGCAATCAGACACCACAAGTGATGTGGTAACGGTCGCAGTGCTCGAGTTGGTGCTCCAGTTGTTGTTACCGTTGTTCCGCTCGCAATAACCATGATGCTGGTATTTGACTCTGATTTTATATTAATAGTGATAGTGGCTTTGTTTCTCTCAGCTGGAGTATTACTTGACCTTGTTTCTGTACCTTTAAGGACAATTAGCCAAATTATATTATTGTTCATTGCCTATTCTTTTTTATGGAAATTATCCCTGTTTTTGAACTTCAATCGCCTCTCTATATACACTTTGATAGTTATTTTGAGTTCTATCAAATATTACTGTATCTTCGAATGAGATAATGTGGATGCTATTTTTTTCCTTAGAACGTTATACTTGGATCATCACTCTTGGAATACCCACACAAAAAAAATGGTTCATTTTGCCCAGTGCTCAATTGACAAACTCACTTATTTGTTTCCAAGAAAAAATAATAGTGTTGGTAATATAATTCATCAAGGAAAATTTAATGAATAATACATGAATAGAAATATTGACTATAGGCACGTAGTTTGTGATAGGCCCCCATCTTTCGGCAACGTCAGAAATTTCCACTTGGTCTGCAACAATTTCTGAAACCAGTGTTATAGTACACATTGATAATAAGAAGAAGGAGAGAAATATAAGGTTATGTCAAAGTGATGTAATCAATCCAGTGACGAAATAATAAATATGGACCGGCCATTGAAGAGAGGACATTGACTCCAACAACTAAAAAAAGATGAAGATGTTCACTTCTTAGCATTTACGTCACTCATACTCTTACCGTTGATATAACGTCACGAAGTTTTATATTATGTTATATTTTCATGTGAAAATTACATATGGGATTTGATTTGTTACGCAGTGGCCAAGATGTTGTGTGTGGGTCTGGTCAGCAGGTGGCATATATCTTAAAGTCACTTTACGCTCAGTCCATATATTATTATGTCTATGGATTAGTCAATTGATTACAAAGATAATATAAATAAATAGAAATAACAATTTCATCTCAAAATTTAGAGAGAGAATCGATGAACTGGAAACATTTTCTACAACGGGAATTGAGGGTTATAGAATGGATAAATCCATATTTAAACACTTAACTCTTTTACTCCTGATTCACTATGGAAATTGTGAGAATTCCAATTCATACTGTTTCTTTGGATTTGGAAAATGTGCTGTGGTGGAGCCAGAGAAAGAAAGTTATTTTTTTGAGAAGTACTTACCTATTTCGTTCCCCTTTCATTCTCTATGGAAATTTGAAAAGCAAAATGAATATTCTTGGAATCCCTACTGTTGGATCAAGGATTGTTATGAAACCGACAACTTTTTGTCAAGCTTCAACATCTTCAAACCGCATTGTTGGTTTCTTGACTGCAATGAAAAAAAATTCAAGCAACAAAGAAAATTCTCATTTCTGAGTTATATTCCTTGGATTAATGAAAGAGAAGTAGATTTTGAACGTGATACTAAGAGTTCGGACACGTGGAGCTTAAATTCATTCAATCCCATGTGCTGGATTGGAAAATGCTCAAAGATTATGAAAGATAAGGAATCAAATTTGTTAGACGTTAATGAATTTATGATTGCTGCCAAAAGTTTCATAAATCATCAACCTGCTATTAGTCAACTAAAATTACTTCAGTATTATCCTAGTTGCTGGCTTGGGGAGTGTTGTAATGATTATTACATCACAGGGAACATAAAAAGTAAAGTTGTGGTTTTTAAACTAAGGTAAATTTTCAGAATTCTTGAATCTATTGATTTCCAAGCATTCCAAAAGATCAAGTTTCGAACCTTTTTCTTCAAAATGTGAAACTTCATCTCCGTAGTTGTACTCATGCCTTTCTCTCAGAAGATGGTTTACATATTATATTCAAAGAAATGTGGAATTCACAGTCGAAAACATTTTTAATCATTTGTCTGATAATCTAAGAAAAATGCCAATTATTAAAATGAAGCATCAACTTTAGCAGTTATTAATACAAAAGACTTACTATAAATTAGAAGAATATTTTGAAGACAGTCCTATATAATTGTATAACTTATAAAATGTTATGCTCCATAGGTAAAAACATCATTTTAATATGTAATTTTAGTTTACAAGCTATCATATTTCCCCCTACGGGTTTTCTCTTCCACTCTTTTATTTTATTTTAAAACTTATTTTTATTATTGACGTGTTCTACACCCATTTGGGTATTATGTATTGTTCACATGAACGAATAAAGAATATCTATCTATCTACATATGTGGGATCGGTCTTCACATTCAAAAAACCACTCTTTATGTTCTTTCACTCTTCGAGAAAAGGTTTTTCCCGTTTGGCCAATATAAATGTTGGCGCAAGAGCTTATATACTCCCGACACTGAAGTTTTGTCTTTATTGTTTTTAATAAATTGGCTTAAATCATTATTTATCCGACAAGCCAAGTACAGAAAATCATAGGTTCCTGAATTAAGGAAATCTAGAATTTTACTGACGCATTCTTTTTTGTCTATATCAATAGCTGTTTGCTATTGTGAATATAACGTCATTATCATTAGCTTTTTCCTTCTAGGAAATTTCCGTACTCCATCCGATACTACCTGGGCTGAAAAATCTATGGCCTAACATATAGATGGCGCTACTATTGTTGCATTCACCGCTTTTTCAGTTAGTACTAAGCTTCGAAAGGAAGCTGTTGAAATTTCAGGATATTCTTCTCATGAGTTTGTGACTTGTGCTAAGAGTGACATTATCATTACTCATTATCAGCTACTCATTTTAATTCTCAATTTTATTTGTTCTTTTAGGGAGTTTAAATCATATTAGACAATGGAAGTCCGAAAAGGAATGAAATTTATCATTTTGAAGTTAAGCGCTGCTTGCGAGAAGCAATACAAAGAAAACGTCCAAAACTTTTTTTTCTCAGATTGTCTTCACAAAACATTTTCTTTGAAAATAGCTGATGACATGAAAAATAAATTTTTCTGTTGCACACTCTATATTATTCGAGAAATCGAATGAACACTTCCTCAAAATAGTAATCTCTCCAAAACTTTTTTTTCAATAAAATCTTACTCGAAGTCAATTTTTTTTAGGAGAATCTTTACCAATGGCTCAGGTCAAATATCACTCTGTGTCCACGCCAACTTTTTATTTTCGATGAGGTGGAAATGATGCCTGAACAAATACTAAACGCCATCAAACCTATGTTAGATTATAAAAGTTCTATAGATGGAGCTGATTATACCGAAGCAATTTTCTTGTTTATTTCAAATACTGGTTCTGATCTCATCCTCAGAAGATATGAAGAACTGATTGGGGTTGAAAACAAGAAAAGAGAAGAAATCGAACTGAGAGATTTCAAAAATTTGATTCTTGAAGGGGTTTTCTCCGAGAAAGGTTTGTTCTTGTTGAGGAAAAAGTAACATTTATATTTGAAGTTGAGATTATATCTTCAATAGGTACTTTTCACGATCATTCATTTCCTGTTTCATGCTTTCATTCAATATATTTTCCATAATCACGATGAATGATCACTGAAAAAATTTGGATATGAAGCAGCCAATATTTCTTAAACTGTTGCTTCACTTCAATACAGAGTCTACGCAAAAGAAAAACTCTCAAAGTGTCAGTAACTTGTATTTATGAATGAGATAATGTGAAATCAATAAAAGAAATAATAATTTTTCAACCTATG